TCCGCAATTGTCCATAGCTACACAAAACCCTTGTCCACCCAACATGCCCATTGAGCATCCACAACAATAAAGAGCACTCGCGTTCCCTTCGGTGGTCCGACGGTGGACCGGTCTGGGTGGCCGCACCATTGCATGAATTGCACCAGGTCATTGGAGTCCAAGATCAGCTCCTGCAAGACCTGCACAAGTTGTGACAGGAAGTTGTCGCAGTGTGGTGGCGGTCTTCATAGAGATCTTTAACGTCTTCAGAGATCTGCCATAATTAGTTGTCAAAGTGACCAAGAAACGTCAATCCTCGAGATGCTCTCGGTTTCGGTACCTGAACATGTGTCGCCCTGATCTTCGCTCCGCATGGCTCTGCTCTTCTCGTTCTGCTCCGTTCCCTCATGCCTGCAAGCCGGAGAGCTCTTCCTCCGGCGGCAGCGAAGAGATGCAATTCGAGGCCAGGTTCAGCCAGACCAAGTTGGGAAGCCTGGAAGAAACGGGCGTGATCGGAAAACGGACAAAGCGGGCGAAACGGCGAAAGCGGGGAAAACGTAGACAGGGTGGGTGAGAAAAGGGGGCCCTTTTTGTGGGTGGTATCAAGGGGTAGGTGATGGTAAGTGGATGAGAGATGACTGCAATAATTAAATGCGATCGTGTCTCGGAGTACAACTTGAGCATCTTTCAAGCAACTTTGGACGGAATCGTCATGCTATGCTCGTGAAATCATGTGAATATAATATATATATATATAGGGCAGTAAAATATACAAATCATAAATAAAAACACATATATATATATATTTATATGATATTATATATGATATAAATAAACATATGCAAGCTGGTTTTCGTCTGTCCAATTCTGCTCCGAACGGCCTGGCCAGCTGCCCTAAGACGTCTCCATGCAGTCCGTTGAAGGAGAGGTCCAAGACCTGGACGTCCGGCAGCGTTCGTGTCCCCCAAGCAAAACATGGAAGATTATGTTATGACTCACCCCACCAAACGCATCTGACATGTGGTCAGGGTCGGGACAGGAGAAGGGACTTGAGAGGAACATTACCCATCATTGAATTTAGAGCAGAAGGGTCTACAGTAGAAACGTGCGCATTTTATCCCTTGGGCCAATCAACCTTGTGGCTTACTGATGCTACTTCCTGTTACCATCCCCTTCAAAGAGTCCCAAGGTGAGTCAGAAGCTAATCACTGGTTTTGGTGTCGGAATCATGTTGGTCCCAATCATCTGCCAGGTGTACTATATATAATAGTACTAGTACTATCTCTAATCACATGTCGAGTTTAGGATAGTTCAGGTATCCAACACTGATGAAGCATTCATCCTCCAACTTAAGAAGCCACAAAAACAACTTATCGCCCGCCTCCAGAAACTGCAGAATGCCATGGCCAACCTGAGAGCTTACGGTTCGTCACAACAAATTGCGGGGGCCTCACCGTCCACTGTGAGATCAAAGCCACATTGCACTTCCTTCCAATGTACTTATATATATATATTATATCAAAGACCAAGCGTTCATAAGCAGCCGGTAAACCCAATTTTGAACTCAATCTTCAACAGCGTTTTGGGAGAGAGCAACAAACATGGGGTCATCACTGCTGTGATGAGATAGCTGTAAGAAAGCTATGGTGTGGATTTGGTGCAGTCAGTGCAGTAAGTCCCTTGAGGATCTGCAACACACCAGGCAAAGCCCAACACTTTCACATATGGGTGTGTATTGTAATAGGGAGACCCCCTGGCCCGGTAGACTGGTCTAATTTCATTTCTTGCAGGGGTTTCTCTAGTTATATAATACAAACCCATAGATACTTTGACTGTGCTCTCCGGGGGCTCCTCCTCTGCCCGTGTTGACGCCTGCAGGCTGCTGATGGAGTTGCCTGCAGACGGTCCACTGAAAGGCGTTCGGCAAACTTTTCCTACTTGGCCTGTCATCTCCCACCCCGTGGGGCCATCTATGCGTGCAAAGAGAACACCGAACAACACATCAATCCTTGCTACAAAGCATCGAAGCAACCTGCATTATGGCGAGTACATCAATAGTTGCAGTATATATATATAATAGCTTAATCATAAATATCACCCAGGATTTCTAGCTGCTTTGATCCAAGCTGCATGCCAGATTCAGCGTGCCCAGCCGTGGAATCCGTGCGATCTGCTCCAAAAGGTGCTCGTAACCTCACAGGTGGAGGGTCCACACGTCCCACGACAAGCGAGCTGAAGCAACAGGGCGGCCCGTTGCTTTTAAGTTGGAGGCCATCGCTAGTAGGATCAGGTCCTGAGTAGATCTCCATTTGTGAGCAGCTCGCCCGGCGGATCAAAAAAAGAAGCCTTGTGTGGACCGAAAGAATGTATTGGACAAGCATCTTCCGGGTCCGAAAACAACCCAAAAGGCTACCTGCTACCGATCACCATGACGGAATCTTATATTTTGGAATCCCGCCCACCTCCGCAACTTTCATGCCTACCCTTGCGCCCCCAAAGCCCACAAATGCTTAGGGAATAGAAAAGACTTTGAATATTATTTTGACCTGGTTATCAAAACTAGAACTTGTGGGATATTGTGGGCCACTTTTGTACATCTCTTTAGATCTTTTGTACTGGGCCGCTCCTTTTCCTTCGTAAGCCCTCGCCTAGTTGGTTGTCGCTCAGGTCCACTCGATGGAGTTGAGCGAAGAAGGCCAAGTCCTGCGAAGAAGACCGATGCCAAGTTCGTCCAAGTCCAAGCGGAATCAGTTGTGTCCGTCCGTCCGTCCAGTCCGTCCTGGAAGACCCAACAGGGAAGACTCACTTGGACACTTCGACCCGATGCAAAACATGGCAAAACTCGGCAGTGGAACTGAACTCGGACATATTTCAAATAGAAGCTGGAATGTGACTGAAATATATCCAATCTACTGTACCTCAACAATGCAGCCTGTGATATGAGTGTGTGTGTGTGTCTGTGTGTCACAGTGGGCGAATCTACTCGCCTCTCTTTTTGAACAGTACCAGGACCATTGCTTTGTGGGAGTGCACGGTCTACAGTGGTTATTCTATGCCAGGCCAGTACGAGATCCAATGTCAAACGATGTCAAATGCGTTCGCTTGCAACATGATCTGACAGACCGACATCGCATTGTGATTCCGAGAGCGAATAAAGGCGACTGATGTCGCGCATGTGCTGTGACTGTGTGCGGCCTTGTGTTAGCACCAAGAAAGCAATGGCTCGGCCGTGCAAATAAATGCGGTGACACTTGACATGAGTAGTCGTCAGCTACCAACACCATCACATGAATGAACGCATGCCCCAAAACCAAATGCCCTAGCATTGCATGGGCTTGCAGTGCCTCTACACATGATTCAATGCGTGCTACTGGCTACTGCACAGGCGCCCTGCCAGGGTGTAATGGTTTGTCTCCCACCTCCTCAGCTATATCGACAATCTGCAAGGAGGAGAGGTTCACAGTAATCACCTCACAGGCCCGGGTCGGAGCAGAAATACAGAAATCAAGGCATCTTCACCAAATGCAACGGATATTTCCCTGCAACGAAAACACACACAACACTTGAAGGCTAATGTTGCCAGCAACACATGTTTGATAAATCCAAACGACCCGGATGTGGGTACATGTACTGTCTGGTTGGTGACTACCCGGCTACCCACTCTTGGGTCATTCTGCAACAAGCTGGCAAAACAAAGACACGCACCTCATCGGGTGTATTGGATCCACCAGCCGCCAACAACAGAAAGCCGTCCAGGAGCCTTGGCGCTTTGGGCGCTCGTCGCATCATCACATCATGGAGTGGTGCAGCCGTCGGAAATCATGGTGCCACGGTCGGGAGAGGCTTCTTTTGGTTTCAATTGTTACCAGACTTAGCCACAGGAAGGCGCGCACTCCGCGTGTCACCTTGAACCTTCCCGCCATTGCAAACGGCAAACACCAACAAACACCACCCCCTCAAAAGTCCCTAAACCTGCCCCTAAGCCTCCAGACCTGCCCTCGATGTAATTGTTCTCCGCCATTGGCTCAAATGGGCGACATCCGTCCCCGGCTTGTTCGCCGGCGGCGTGGCGTGGGCAGGTCAGGTCGATCGCACCGGGGTGGTTGCGACGGGTCGGGTATAGATCTTCCTTCTTTCACAGGGAGATCCTGGGATCTGACTTGGGCCAAAGGGATATCATAGGAACTGGGATTCCTCGTTGGAGGAATGATTTACGATGCAAGTCCTCCCTGTTTCCCCAAGAAAGCCGTTCAGAACTGATTCAAACAAAGCTGTCGGATTGGGACATATTCAAATCTGCACATCTAGCTCCTGCCTGCTGTGCAGGGTGAAACCTCTCTTAATGCTCGCAAGCCCAAGCAAAACAAGGAGGCAGGGCGGCAGGATCCAAAACTCTAAAAAGAGGAACCACCTAGATCCTCTCTTCATCTCACTGCATGAAGACAGATGGTGAAACTCATGGTGATCTTTCAAACATCTTAAAGCCCCGTGGTCTTCGTTGCTTGTGAATGCCTTGAGGATTGCTGATGGTCTAGCTTTAACTTTGGAATGGTCCAAATACAATACACAACCACATATATGTGTATATATATAATGGATGCAAATAGGGCATATCCAACAGCCTACTTGTCAAGTCCACTTCGTCCACACTATATCAAAGTTTCCGCGATTGCAGCCATGTGCACGATTTCAAGGGCCAATGTCGTTGAAGAAACAACTCTATATTACTCTCAATATAACTGTAATATAGAGTATCTATATAATTGTATCTATGAATTTCATCATTTCACTGTAGCCAGGTTCCTTTGTCTCGATGCCTGTCAGTCGATCACCCCACCGTCACCCTGGCAGCCGTGCGAAACAACGACTCAGTCGGTGGAGGTCCTATGGGTCCAACATGGTCCAACTACGTAGGAGCGGCCCCAACTGAACCTCCCGTCACACCGGAGAGCCATGGAGGTAGTTGAATCCATCTCCGAAAAAACCCTGAGAACTGGAACTGCGCAGTTTGTCGGAATCGCCTGGGTGAAGTGCAGAGATGTAATTCTCGAAGACAGAGTATTGCAGGGTTGCCTGGAATGGCTCCGAGGGGTGCCCAGGTTTCTGGTGCAAGAGCTCAAAGCGTCCATCAAAATGTGAGATTGTCTGAGGTTAATTTGAAGAGACAGATCACTAGACAATCTTCATGCACAGAATGGAGACAATGATCTGTGTAAAAATTTCACCTGTCCAACTTTCGGCCTCCAAGTGCTCCACACAAATTCGCAGTCCAAATCTGTCGACAATTCTTTGTCGATCTTGTTTGGTTGCTTTGGTATACTCCAAGATCCGAAAACTTCGAACTGCCCCATAGACCATTGAACATGGGCCCCACACCGGCACCATCCGGCACCTTTCACCTTCCTCGACAACGTCTTGGCAGACGGCCTTCTTCACCACCTCGGGGTCGGCGGGACGTCCTGCTTCATCTCGCTCCATCCTGCAAGCGTCAAGTTTTGGTCGACCTTGCGATCCACCAGGTCGACCTATTACATGGCCAACAAGCAACTTCCTACTTGGCCAACTCTTCCTTTGGCATCCTTGTGGCAGGCAGAAATTCAGAAAGACTCAAAATGGCTCAAATCTGCGCGGTCCTTGATCCCCCAGAGCTAAATGACAGAGCCAACAGCAACTCCCACTTGGTAAAGTTCCTCATAGTAATACTATACAGTAGTTATACAGACCATCCATCTATGGAATAGTTACTTACATCAGTGTCAGAAATTGGCTAAATCATGCTAAATCTATTAACTATTCACGTCCCGTGGATGGCCTGGGGTACTTGACATCATGAGGATTCATCATCTTGGCTTCCCACGTGTCCAAGGTGAAGCGGGTGAGGTAGAAAAAGGCCTGGTTAGCAACATTACAATTACAAGTGTGCCCCATCATTAGCACGGCAGTAATCTGTAGTAGAGGTCCGCCCTTTGTTGATGTTTCATCCATGTATATTGCATTTGTATATTACAGAACCAAAGATGATGCTGTTGGCCACGAACATATATGCTGTGCAACGCGCGATTTTGCTGGGCCCTCGGCAGCAGGTACTCCCATCAAGCAGCTGCGTGCCTGCCACAGAATATCTGTCTTCATCAACTCATCCAAAGACAGCTGACCAATGAGGATGTGGTACCAGTGTACCCGGTCTTGAGCAGCGAGGCCCCGAGGCAGGTTAGTGTAGCACGAACGGATAAATCGTGGCCAGTGCCCAAGAATGCGGAGTGACGATGGTCATAGGATGTCATATCTTTCTTGGAAGAACACCCAAAGATACCCAAAGTATCCCAAAGTTCAATGACCATGAACTGTACAAACATGGACTTGATGCAGAACCAGGCGATCTCACAAGCGGAGCTTAAGCTTCAAAAAACATCTGAACGATAATTTTAGGTGAACACCAGTACTATTGCTGCACATTGCTGCTCCAGTGTTGGAGTGCTTGGTTGGCTTTGACCCACATCCTTTTCACCGTTGTATAAGTTCACATTTTCCAGCTGTGGGTCGCATACCATCCGACCCGCAGCTGCGGATTCGCTAGTGCTAGCTGGATATTCCAACCTGTTCAAACGCAATGGAGTCACCCAAAGCTGTAACAAACGCGGGGAAAGGGCTGTGGACTGTATTCGTCAAGTTGTGAAAACCCAAACCGGCACGAACAAGCATCTTCAAAGAATGCAACATCAAATGGAAACCCTCAATCACTGGGAAAAATATGTGTGATTGATGTCGATCCCACGCACATCAGTTGTGTGGAAAAGAAGAACGCTTCCCCTAATTGGGCTAGCGGCTAGCTGTGTTCTTCCAATACGGTTTTTAAATGCAAAAGAGCTTTTTCGTTGTTCGGAAGCTGGAATCAGCACAGGCAAGTAGCGTTGCTGTCCTGTGGCACCAAACCTTTGCCTGGGCTTATTCGATTGGACGTCGATGGTGACTGGTGCAATAGCCCAAAGTCTTGGTCGAACTCCACACTGCACAAGTTTTTTGCAACTTGTTGAGCATGGCCTCCTCGTCGTAGCTGCTAGCACTTTTGGTACCTGAGCAGCTACGACGGAGGCAGGGGAAGTCTGCTAGGAAGGGCGCCTGCACGGTAATTACAAAGGAGTTGAAGAAGTCCACAGATATCGATGAGAACACATTGGGAAAACTTTGCTGCCAAGGAAACTCTGAAGGAAGGGGATAGACATAAACATAAACATATAGACGAGCAAAATCCATGAGCAAACTTCACCGGCTCAAATGGATGATGTGAGACAAGAGCCGAGACAATTCGCCGAAGGAAGCTCTTCCAAAATGTCAATGAGTTTCGTGGGAAGGCAACCTGAGGACCCTTGAAAAGCTCTATGTTGGTGAGGGGGCGATTGAATATATCGTCTATGGATAGACTATGACCTCCTTTCCAGCATCTAGAGAACAAACAGAACATCGAGTTGACATCTGGACCACGGTGACCACGGCCGCCCCAAAAGCAAACATCGGATGCAAATCATCTGTAGCGCACTGAGCCGATTCAAGATCTCAAAGACCGCATCCATATTCTCGGGATACCTCGAACGGTGGAGCGTGGAGACCCACGACGGAGCGAATTTCGGATATCCAGCCCATTTGGTTTGAAGTCTAACACTCTTGCTATATAAATATAATATTTAGATACATTTTAGTATACTTGATACATCCTGTGCTTGTTATATATAATCGTAATCATACAGTACTCAAACGATATTCGGCTCTCCAGGTACTCAAAGAATGACTGGAGAGTCGCTCGCTGAACTATCAGATGTATGCTTGAAGGATCTTGGAAGGTATAACGGTATAGTATAGTGTAACTGTAGAAACTGGCCTGGTCAGTCTATTGAAGCTAATTTAGCCCAAATGGTGTGCGATTGGTCGATTGGTGCCACTGTCAAGTTGAAGACCTTGTTTCCATGTTCTTCGAAGTGGGACCCCCGGTGTGACACTTGCAGTGAGACCCGCTGGGACCCCGTGCGGCGTCTCCAGCAGGTGCTGCCGAAAGCGAGGCCAGTCCACTGGCCGATCAACTGGCGACGCCCGTTCTACGAGACCTATCGACCGTCTCACCCCGACACACGCGTGGCCCGGGTTGCGTCTTCCGGGTGGCCCGGGTGTCATGGAATGTTCATGTCAGAAAGACCGACCTGCACGGTATTCAATGCCTAGCTACAGTCGTAGAAAAGCTGCGTTGGGCTTGAGCGACCTGTTCTAAAGCTGTAGTTGTTCATTTAGGTGTCATTCATTTAGGTGACCATACTCCCGAATGAACAATCATGTGGAATCGTCTACTTACTCAGTCCTGAGTCCACTGAGCGCGTTCGCTGTCCTGGCTGTCCCGCACTGCGAAGCCTTCATTGCGAAGATTGGAGCAGTCCAAATATTTCCAGGCAAGACGCTTCTCCTCGGTGCACCAAAGAGTGTTCAGAGGTATCATAGGCATACAGTTGACAGCTGAAGAGGAGGCTCCTATGCCCAAGTCAAACAGGACCACGAGAGAGCGGCCGGTTGAAGATAGTAAAGCCCCGCATTAAGTCCGGGCAGAAAAGAAAGCACCCATCACCGGCTGTCCACACACACCCATGCTTGACAAGTTATGCTCGACCACACTAGCTTCATGGTGTCTCCTGTTCATCTGGATCCACGATGCCTTGCACCAAGCAGGCGGCCACCAGTAATGACGGCCAGTCCTCGAATGCAGGGTTCCGGTCCGGTCTCAAATCTTTGTGTTGGAACCTATCCTGACTTGATGGAATTCGAATGACTTGAGGATGTTTGGTTGAACAGAATACATAATTCCAATCACTTCCAATCACCACTTGGTTGGTTCGGGCCTTTGAGGTGGGTTCAAAATCTTCTCAACTTGCAGCAGTCCAGGATCTTGCTTTGCCTAGTCCCGCACCAAAGTTGGCCCGGAGAACAACCTTTCAGAAACACTTCCAGAAACAGCCGCCCAGGAATCCCTAATCCCTCAAAAACGGCTGAGAGTACACGGTGTCTTTTTGGCTTTCAGGCGATCGGAGATAGGTATGAATTCATTGGCCAATACGGATGTAGCCACGGTAAAACCATGGTTTAAAAAAATGTCTTGATTTGCCATGTGTACTGGCTCTTTCTGAACAAGAACACCGGGTGAAAGGAAAAGAAGACCAAAAGGTTTGGGCAGTCTGCCCATGGACCATGAGAATGACTATTTTTCAGGCCCTATACAGTGCAATGGCCTCTCCGTCGAAAAAGGACACCCTGCCTGCAGCCTCATCAAGGAGCTCCTGACACACAAAGCACATGGAAGGGTTTGGTGAGGCGCAGCAAGCTCGATGAGACTTAGTCAACAAAAAAGCACTTCATCTGCACCTGCACACTGGTGTAATTATAGTATAAACAAAAGAACCAGTTTCGCTTCGCTCCGTGCCCGTTCGCTCCGCCTTTGGCTCCGGCACCATGGCCGACGGTTCCATGCGACGCAAAGAGCAGGCGGTTGGGGACGGGTTCCACGGCGCGAATCGGTTTCGCCTCTGTGCATTGCTCTCCTATAGCCTCTACATTGGTCTCAAAAGTGTGTCGAAAGGCACATGGCACCCAAGGCACTCTCTGTGCATTTTGTGCATGTTGTTGCTCAGAGTTGTTGACCTTGGAGAGAAAAAACAAAATCAAATCGGTGTTTGTGTGCAAGGATCATCGTGCTTCGCCAAGCTTTTGAGTCTGATTCTGATGTACTTTGATCCTGTTAGTCTTTTGCAAAGACTCAATAGGACACCATTCCCAACCCAAGCTGTCAGTACATAGCTTCCTTTGAGCTGCATAGATATGTTTAACCTTGCTCAACAGTCTATCTCGAAGAAAGCTGGACGATGGGCCAGGATTGTACGCGGCACCATGTGAAACATATCTTAAATCCAGCAAGCTTGGCGCTGTCGGATCATCCATTTTACATGTTGACATCTTCACCGCTTTCCAAATGCACCCACTTGACGGCGATTTCCTATTCTTGTTGGGCATGCAAAAACAGTGCCAGTACAAGATAGGGCAATCCTCCGGCAAGCAGTCTCACAAGCTGCGGTCCGCCACGTATATAGAGTTATTCATATAACTGAACTTACGCAGTGAACGTGAAGGTTGACTTCTCAAGGGGATAGTCTCAGATCATGGATATCCCATTCCTCTTTACAGTGTTTTGGGGGACGTCAATGTGGTGCAGGATTGCTTCCTATTGTGTCCGTCTTGACACCAGTCCCAATCCAACTTCCTGTGTCCCAGACGTGTCACGCTCCTGGCGTTCCGCGGATGGCTCTGGTGGATTCCAGGGTCAGTCAAACCAGTTTGGCGGCCGTTGGAGGCCATCGCTCTTAGGCCATCGCTAGTAGGGTGGAGGAAGACGACATGGGTTTCATTAGACAAACAAGGATCAGGTGAATCAAGTCGTTCCTCAGCATCCATCTGCATCTCAGGTGATCATGTACAGTGGATGGAGAGATGGCACAATCCCCCAAAGGGGGTTTATATTTACTCCCATCTAAAAGTCATCTTGCGGGTTGTGCCATCTACTCTGAAACCACTGTAATACTGTAACATCGGTCATGTTACGAGTCATGTTAGCTGTCTCTGACCGGATCCGAGTTGTGGCAAATGCAAAAGTGCCAAGAGGTAAGAGGTATTCACGTCCATGGCCTTAACCTGTGCATTGTTGGAAGCACCTCCAATTGAAATTTGGACCCTACATCCTCAAAGCATGAAAGGAAAAAAGATAGAGAGAGAAGATAAAATTCAGTAAACACCATGAGCCAGTGAGGGAGTGAGTGAGTGGGTTTTTGAGTGGGTGTTTCACAGACCTCTGACATTGAAACAGCCCTTCAGAACTTCCGGTTCGCCTTGACAGCTTGCAGTCGACTCAAGGAATCCTGGGCGGGACAGAGAGTGCCAAATACTTTGTCCTAGTACTGTCCTAGTCATGATAGATGGAAAAACTCGTGGTTATGTTAGAGTTGAATTGAACTCTGCCAATTGGTCGAATAATATTGAACACTAAGTTGACATTTAAAAATTTACCGCGTGGTGGAGGGGCTATGCTCGAACCGGAGGTCAAGGGATTCTCATCCCATCCCCGCGCCTTTCTCAGGTCTTCACTTCTTCCCTTATATATAATATATAATATATATATAATATATTATAATATATTATAATATCATATTGGCCAGTTTGCCTGACTTTTGCACATCGCAAAGACAGTTGGTGAAGGAACCATTCAAAAGAAAAAAGGGATCTCCGATAGTTTGGCGGCATATCGTTCTTCCACGTGATCAGTTCGCCAGTTGCTGTAGACGGTTGATTATACAAATTCCCTCTATAATAGAATGGAATTACATCTCCGTATGGGTGGTTATATTTATCAGCAGTCTACATATCCAAATATCCTCAATATATCCTCAAGAAGCTACTAGTAACAAAGGGCATCGCTACTAGGAGCAAGGGCGCTACGAACGTAGCTCCTGGCCTTACTACTAGTAACAAGGACGTTACTATGAACAAGGAAAAACCGCCTCTCCCCACTTTTCCTCCAGTCCTCTAGCTCTGCGATCTGCTGTCGGAGTGCCTCCTGCTCCCGGTGGGAGTCCAACAACCTCGCTGCTCCAAACGGGGGTCATGAGAACATGGCTGGGGCACCCAGGTCCAACCTCCAGCACTGGGGCTACCATCGGACGAAGATGGGCAAAGTCTGAAGGGAAGGGAACAGCGATTTGGTATTTGTTGGAGGATTTGAGCTGATGTTTCACAGCAAGCAAGAGAGGAGCTTGGCCAGCATGGTCAGCATGAATTGATGGACACCTTTGACCCTTCATGTTGATTTTGGACCTTTGACTGTTCAGGATATGCTTTTCACCAGGCCTGCCCTCAAGACCAGCTGCATTTGTGGTGACACCGGTGGCATGCTGTCCAGCATCCCTTCCGTTTTGTAAGCTAAAGTCGACTTGCACGCATATAACTAACACATGTATTCATCGCATTTCATCCTCCCAGCATCCTGGCTTTCCGGAGACAAGACTGCTATAGACATCATGGGGGCAGTCTCCTAGGCCCCGTTTTGGTGATTCACACAAAGCAATTCCCTCTTGCAGAACTATGCACATAAGCTGGGACTATTACAATCTCTTACAAATTGCAACGAGTGGTTTGGACATTTTTGGACGACATGCGAGAACGAATCCGAACTCTTGAGCATTGCTATCTAAATGTCAGCAAGGACGCTACAAACGGGGCTCCTGGGCTTACTACTGGGAGCAAGGAGGCTACTACGAACAAAGGGCATCGCTTCTAGTAACAAGTGCCTTACTACTAGTAACAAGAAGCTAGTAGTAACAGGTGCCACGCTAGTAGTAACACGTGCCTTACTAGTAGTAACAAGAAGCTACTAGTAACAAGTGCCTTAC